GGAGGGGATAGAGTCATTTTCTTTCCAGCTCAAGTGGTAAAGAAACGTCTTTCCTCTTGTGCAAGCTGGGCTTCCTGCAACTTGGAAAAAAATACAGTAAGGCCATGGTTTATGACGCTGTGCCTGGGCTGAGCAAGACAGAGTAGCCGGCACGCTCAGAGCTGGCCTGGCCGCCCTTGATAGCATAGGACCTTGTCCCACGGCTCCGTCCTGGGCCCTCTGCCTCCATGTCCAGCCCAGAGAAACTTGGCTCCACCGCAGCTTTCAAAATAAAGTGGTTTTTATTTCATATCCACGAAGGAGGTTACAAAATATAATTGGGGTTGCTGCTTCTCATATTATTTATGCAATTCTCTCCCCCAGCTCCCTTCCCTAAAGTAGTTCACAAAGGGGTCTTTGTTCTCTGCAAGTTCAAAGTCAGCTCCTCCAATGGGAAACAGATTGGTGATTACAAGGAGGAGGCTGTCAGGCCAGAAATATGGGACACATCAGAGCTTGGGAGAGGGCAGTTCGCAGGCTGCAGAAACTGGCGTGAATGGATTTCCAGTGGAAACCTATGTCTATGCCTCTCCAGGCTCTGCCGCCATGGCCGGTTTCCTCACCCCGAGACCAGAGCTGGACTCAATCAGAGTTGGAGTTCTGGGGCTTGCCGAGGCTCAACCTGGGTGGACAGGGCTCGGGGCATGCATGCCCACTCCTGCCCTTCTGCGGGTTCGACTGGCTGAATGAATGTCCAGGTCAGATTTTGTTTAAGGAAAACATTTTTGCAACAAAAGTTTGCAAAAACTGACCTGAATGAATTTCAAGGTTTTGGGGGTGCTGAGGCCCGGGAGGTTGTGGGGTCAAAGACTCGGAGCCTGGGACCTTGTGCAGCCAGGAGCCGGGTGACTGGCCTTTCTGGGCCTCATATGTCTCTCTGGAAAGTGGAGTCAAAGTTGCATGGTAGGCCCTGAAGCACAGTGCTGTGGGGGCATGGTGCTGGGAGGTGAGGAGATTCCTGGCTACACCCCACTGGCACCTGTGTACCTACTACCTGGTGAGTCCGCCTAGTGGCAGCTCAGTACAGAGAACCCTGGGGTAGAGGTTCCAGCTCTAACCCAAAGGAGGTGCTCCAGTCCAGAGCTTCCTTGCAATGGGGACTTCCTATGTCTGGAAGAAACATTGAGTAGGCAGCACCCCCAGAACCTCAGCTAAGCAGGGTCCTTCCCTTACCATGGTGACCCCAAAATAGGAAGACCCAAGGAGACTTGGGTGGCCTGCATTGTTGGGGGTGAGGAGCCTGACACAACTGATCCATGGGGGCTCTGGAGGACAATGCCACAAAGCTGTTGAGGACTCATGCCTGGCTGGGGGTCCTTCAGGCAGCAGCTTTGACCTAGGCTGCCCCTCAGACTTGCTCCCTGGTGCCTGCCCTGTTGGAGCCCCTCCCTCCATCCCTGCTCAGATCTGGGACCCACAGCCTCCCGCTTTTCGTTCTCGTCATCCACGACACGTGTGGGTGTTGGCGGGGCCAGGGAGGTGGTGCACCCAGCCATGCTGGGAACCGAGGGCCTTAGAAAAACAAAACCTGCACCTCTGCTCAGCCCCTCTGAAAGAATACCAGAAGATGGAGAGTCTCAAGAGTCCACCCCACCTGACTCCAGGATTCCAGATCTTTCCAGAACAGTGATTGTAGGGCACTGTCGAGCAGAAGCCTGGCCCAGATGGAGGCCTGTGGAGGCCCACCCAGGACTGGCATCTTTTCAGAATTGGCATTTCCCGTGGTGGTGCCAGCCTGCTGCCCTCAGTGTCCTCCCTGTCAGCCCTGTCACCAGGTTCTCTGATAAACATGGCCTCAGGGGATTGAGACGTTGGCCCTGGGGAAGTTCTGTACTGGCAAGAGGCTCCATTAAAACCACAGCTCGGGAGGCCCTCCAGGCCCATTGCTGTGCAGGACGACAGTAACTTGTACAATAACGGTTTCCGTCAACTGCAAGACCCCTCGTGGGGTTGCAGGAGCTCTGCAGAACTGGGCTCCTGTCCTCCGCAAGGGAACGCCCCCAGAGCAGGGGTTCTGCGGGAGCAGGGAGGCCAGGTGGTGGTGCTTCCCATTCACAACTAGCAAAATATTTACGAAGCAGGAGGAGCCAGGGTGGGGGTTTTGAGTGGTCTCCGGCTGACTCCTGTCCCAGGCACTCTTCACTGCAGTGTGGAACAGGAAGTGTCCTGGGTGGTAGGGGGCGCACCTGTGCCAGGCACTTCCCACACTGCTGCATGGCTCCTAGTGTCCTGTCTGCACTGTGGATGTTGCCCACAAAGGAGAAATGGAAGCTCAGAGAGGTTAAGTAACTTGGGAGTGTGAGATAGGATTAAAACGTAGCCTTGCTTGACCCCAAAGTCTTACCCACCCACTCCTGCAGGGCGTTGTGGTGACACCCAAGGGTCCTGGGATGGAGTTTCTGGGATGAGGGTTATGTCCCAAGTTCCTGACAAATGTGAGTATCATGAATGAGAACCCATGGACACCTGAAGTGGGCTTGGGTTCATGCTAGGGGCATGGGGGTGGTGCAAGATGGAGTAGGTTCTGGAAGGGAGGGAGTTTCAGGCAGCATTTTAGGCAGGCACAAAGGAGTGCAGCTGTGAGAGACAGGTGGTATGTGTCCTGAGAGGACTGGGCAGTAAGGCAGGGTGAGGCACCTCAAAAGCCACATTGAGGAGTCAAGATTCAGGCTTCAGTTACTGGACGGCAGGAGCTACTCCGTCCTTCTGTGTTAGGACCTGGTGAATGATCTGGGTGCATCCCAAACATTAGAAAGGCCTGCAGTTGACTGGTTGTTGTAAATAGGTCAGCTCCTGCAGCATCCTGGGTGTAAGTTGGGCCCAGGACTGGCCACCCTCCACGGCCTCCATGGGAGTGTTTGAGGCAGTTACTGCTGAGCCCCAGCCTCTCTCAGAGCCCTGGATACTCCTGAGCTGTTTCTGCCAGCCCTGGCTATCATTCAGCCATCTAAGCCAGAACCAAAGATAACTCATCCCCCAAATACACGTCCCTGGGGCCACAGCGTCTGGCCAGCCTGGGCCACATGGCGAGGGGTCACGGGCCTTTGTTTTGGGAACCAGCACCTGCCTGAGGAGGAGCCTGTTCCCCACGTCAGGGCCTCCGAGCTGTGCTGAAAGACAGCTTCAGGAATAGTACACAGGCAACTGAGGGAGCAAAGAATTCCCTAGGTGCTGTGGTTGAGATGAGGCTCTTGAATACCGGGGCCTAGTTTCTCAAGATATTCAGTGATATGGTGGATTATTTTTGTGAGATGAATTTTGAGAATTTCTGGCTAGAAAGAAGGGGGGCAAGAGACAGTGGGGAGGAGAGAGAGGGAAAAGGAGACAAGGAGGAGGGGATGGGGTTCATCCATGTGGTAGCAGGTGTCAGAATTACCTACTTTTTTAAAGACTGAGTAATATTCCAGCGTGTGGCCAAACCATGTTTTTCTTTAATCCGTTCATTTGTCAGTGGCCACTGGGGTTGTTTCTACTTTTGGCTTCTGTGAATAATGCTGCTGTGAACACTGGTGTACTGTTTTCTTTTTAAAAATTATGTCATGAATATTTTCCTTACTGGTGTCTGTCTAGCGGGGGGTTTGGGAAGCAGCGAGAGAGGCCTGCAGAAGACTGGGAGACAGTTCTGTGCCAAGTTTCCAAGCTGTGTCAGCATTTCTGCATCCTCTGTAAATTGCAAGGACACAGCATTTCCAAAGGGGGCCAGAGTCAGAAAGAGTGTGAGGGTCTTACGGCACCAGAATACCGTCCTGGCATGTGTGTGTGAAGGGGAGGGGAGCTTTGATGTTGAGATATTAGATTGAGTGTCTGCAAATGGATAATGATAGTATCATTTGGCTAATATTGGTATTAGGCAAATTAGCCAACTGGCAATGGACATGAAATAATAAGACTGATTTTGAAGAAAAGCCATTTTCTGAAATATAGTCAGCCAAACAGAAAATGAACAACTTCCTGAATACATTTGGCCCACGTTAATGGTATGAAAGAGTGAGAGGGAAGTGATAAATAAAAGAAAAAAGAAAAGTGAACATGGAGCCATCCTGAATCTGGGTTACAGCCAAACAGAGCGGGGAGGCTGTTGAGGGCCAGGTGCCAGGAATGCCCAGGTACCTGCATGTTCTGGCAAGTGCAGAGGGGTCCACAGCCCAGAAGAAGTAAAACCACACTGGCAAGCTATACCCAAGACTAAAATTCAACCTAAGCCTGATTGACAAACTTTCCGCCAATCAGAGCTGCACTGACTGAAAACCTCATTTGCATAATGTGGATTTAGGCCCGCCTCTTTTGCCTATATAAGCTCTGGGAGAGGCAGAACTGGAAATGGAAAGGCTAGTAAGAGAAAGTTTGGGGTGAATTCGTGGAGCAGCCTGTAGGAGGTGGGTTGCAGAATCCTGATTTTATTTTCCTTTCTCAATTTCTCTGTGCCTCACTGGGGAGACTGTTCGGGACTGTGAGATGAAGACAATGGCTCCAGAACAACCTGTCCAGAACCACCTCCTCCCTTCCAGGCCTGTAGCAAACTTTACCAATTGATCTTACCCCTTCCAGCACTACACTTTAGGCAGCACTCCCTGCCAAGTTCTCAGTTGGTTTGGAGCATATTTGTCAAGTTTTTATGTGCCAGGCACTGGAATAGGTGCTGGAAATACAATGGTGAAGCAAAAGAGAAAATGTTCTGGCTCCAGGGGAATTCATATGGTAGGGGGCACTGACATGGCGAGGGGCCCCCAGGAATAAATATAGGATTATGCACATGGTAGGGGAGTTGTGTGGCACTAGAACAGCTGTTCTGGGGGCGCTGAGGAGTTCTGGAGGGCAGGTGGGAGCATGCGGTGTGAATTGAGGGAGGTTCACTCTGCCAGCATAGAAGCCTGCTGGCCCATTGTGTGTCATCCCTGTGAGCCATCCCTGCAGGGAACAATGGGAAGATTCTGAGGGGCCCTGTCAGGACTTGCTTATGAGATTGCAGGTTGTCAGGGCCCAAAGGAAATCATCTCATACCCTTTGGGATCTTTTAGTCGAGCAAACAATCAAACAAGCATCGGACAGATTGCTAAGAGCAAAGGTCAAAACAAAGTTGAATAATAGCATGCAGACCTCCTGTGTGCACGGGAGGGACTTGGCATGACTAACGTGCCCATGTGGCTCCAGATGCCATCTTAAACATCTCAGCTAAGATCGAAGGACTTGGAGGGGAGAAAGGGAAACTCTTTTAGGGAGTTACCAGGGAAGGCACGGTAGACAGAGGTATGCCGATTATGTTCTGCCTTCTCCACTCAACAGATAGGAGACAGGTCTTTTAGGTCTTCCCTGTACATGACCTTACAGAGGTTTGTAGGAAAATATCTTTTACTAAAACAACCTCCACCAGCCTCCAGAAATCCTCCCAAGAAATCAACCTTTTGACAAAGACCTATTTTATGATGGCAGATTTGCTCCTCTACAAGGTAAATCATCTCTAGTCTTCTTCCCCTTTTGAAGGGTAGGGATAGGACTCATGTGACATCAAAACTTTACTCCCCCTTCCCAACATCCCTGGCATTTTAGACCCTTAATGTGACTATTCAGGAGCCCCTGGATGGCCCCTGAATGCAAGGCCCCCAGGTGCAAGGCCCCCAGCCCCTCAATTGTAGAGATGGCACCCTCATGCCTGGGGCTTAGCTCTGCAACTGTCACAAAGAAGGTTTCTCACTGGACACTGCAGGGATGGATGCCAGTTAAGAGAGAGTTAACTCCCAGTTCTCATACATGAAATTAGGCTTTTCACTTGCATGTGAACCCGTAGAGATACCTTTTGTCACAATGTGTAATTTCATTCCTAATTCCTGAAATAGCTCCTGAGCATAAAGCTGAAATGGGAGGGTGTCTTTTGCTATTCATAGCAAATCCCTGTCAGCCAAACCTGAGTTAACGAGGTGAGTTTTGGAAGTCCCTGGGGATGGGGGCTGGTTGCCAAGGTAACCACAGGATTAGAAGGTTGGACCTTCAGGGAGGGAAGGGGGCTGGAGGGTGAATCACTCACCAAAGGCCGATGATTTATTTGATCTGTCCGATCTAATGGAATCGCCATAAAAAATTGGGAGCTTCCAGGTTGGTGAGGCTGTGTAGCTGTTGGGAGAAGTGTGCCCTTGAGGGGGGGGCAGAGGGGTGCCTTGCTCCTACTCCCTCCTGCACGCCTTGTTCAATGCATCTATTCCTTCCAGCTGCTCCTGGGTTATTTCTTTTTATGTTAAACTGGTAATCCACTATGTGATTAGTCTGTCCCAGTTCTGAGAGTTGCTCTAGAAAATGAATCAAATCTGAGCAGAGGGTGGTAGGAGCCTGTGACCTACAGCTGGTCGCTTGGTCTGAAAAACAGGCTGACCTTGAGATTGGGGCCTGAAGTGGGGTAGTCTGTGGGGCTGAACCCCGAACCTGTAGGAGGGGATGCTATCTCCAGACATAGTGCAGGATTGGGCTAAATTGTAGAACACCCAGCTGGGGTTGCAGAACAGCTTGGTGTGGGGGGAAAAAACCTACGTTTGGTGGCAGAAGGGAGGCAGTACACTGAGGGGAGACACTCAGGAGGGCTTTTCCTCGAGATAACCCGTGGGCCTCAGGGCCCCCTCCCCAGCTCTGGCTGGCCCTGGCTCCCTTCAAGTCAATCCCTGACCACCAGCATCTGGTGGGGCTTTCTCTAGAGAATTCTAGAATCTGTTCACTACTTGCCAGCCCCATGACCACTCAGGAAGTAACATCTAGACTTCTGGTGGGAACAGCCACAGTCCATTTTGAATTCTCTCTCTCTTCAAACTGAAACCTGGGTTCCCATGACTTCCAGTGTATTTACTGCTCCACCCCACTGGACTTTCCTCTGGCCCTTCTTACTCAGCCCTGCAGATGGGTGCCCAGAGCCGCCCCACCATCCTTCAGACCTGGAGGCTCCTCGCTGGAGGAACAACAGTAGCCTGGGGTCTGTGCAGCCAGGTTGGGCAGAGATGAGCGTCTTGAGGGTGGCAGGGCAGCCCCACGAGACCTGGGAGATGCCTCTTTGGAGCTGAGGGGCCTAGGAGAAGGGGCATTGGTCTCCAGCTGTGGTCCGTTCATTGGGCTCCAGGTTTGCCCCAGTGAGAAACTTCGGAAGCTAAATGGAAGGAGCCTGTCTACGCTGATTTGATCTCTTTTGACACAGGAAGCTGGAATTCTGCCACAACCATCTCTACTCCTCCCCAAGCTGTCTGGAGTCATGGCCTCTACAGCTGGATTAGTGCAGCTTTACAGTCTGATGTGACAAGGAATTAAATGTTTGTGACAATATAAAATCATGACAAATGAGCCCCTCCATGTTGAGAAGCCCAACTGTGCAGAGAAAACAGGCTGACGACTCTATTAATGTCACGCCATGAAAGTTCCTGATTGGAGGAAACGGACTTATGAGGCTGGACCCTTTGGTCTGGGGAAAGAGGCCTGTGGGGGGACTGGGAACCTACATGGTTTCCGTGGCATGGTCTTCACTGCTGGGTCTGCCCTTTCGTCTGCAAGTGGCACTGTGTCCTGGAGCAGCATTTTAAAAAGCTGATTTAGTCCAGGCTTTTTAAAAATCAAAACAAAACAAACACCCACCCCTTGCTGAGCCCAAGAACAACTTCTTCCCAGGCCTCAGAGCCAGCCCTGCTCCGCCAGCCAGGTTGCCCCTGGTGACGACACATTTTGGGTTGGCTGCTTCCCTGGGCCTTTGTTTCCCCTGTGCACGACGGGGCCGGGGGAGGTCAAGGTCACTTCCGGCTGCACATTCTGGGAGGCCAAGCCCACACCTTGGAGTCCCTCTCTATTCCCTCAGTCCCCTGCCTGGCATCACAACTGGGAGAATAAAGGCGTCTGTGTGCAGGGTTCCAGGGCCTCTCGCCTGGGAACAGATCATCTGTGGCCTGTGCCGCAATTGCTAACTGCCCCGGGGCTCTGTCTGCTGTGGGCCCTTCATGCCCAGGAGCAGGGAGCACATGCCCTCCCGCGCAGGCCCCTGTTCAGCCCGGTCTCCGCAGCCCCAGGGACCCGCCATGCCTTTCCCCATCCCTGGAAACCTCGGTCCACTCATCTACTCCTGAGCAGTCCCAGAAGCCAATGGAGGGGCGGCCTCCTGCAGCAGTGCCTGGCAGAGCCCGGGCCAGGAACAAGGGCAGAGGGAAGGCCTGCTCCCCCTCTAAGCTCACCATCCACAGCACCGGGGGTTTGCTTTCTGCCCCTCGTGAGGACTTGGCCATTGTGGTGACCCGTGCCCCCAGCCTCCATTTGTCCATTAAGCTCAGAAACATTGAGGGCACCTGGCGAATCCAGCCCTGGCGCCAGCTAGAGAGATGATTGTCATGGGTCCTGAGAGATTCAGGCCAGCTCTGCCTGGCAGGCCTGCCACCGTGGGTGCCCCGGGCGAGCCATGGGCTCAAGGGTAATAAGGCTGCCCTGGGCAGCAGTCCTTGAGGCCTCCAATCTGGGTTGCTACCTGCTCTTCAAACAGCCTGTGATCTCTCACGTTCTGGAAGCATCTGGGAGAGGCAGCCAAGGTGGTTGATTGACAAAGCTTTCTGAGCGCCCTCCTCGGCCACCTGATCCAGTTTTGCTGGGTGACAAGCTGCCCCCCAAATTGAGTGGCATATGACTGTCATCTTCCTATAATCAAGTTTCTGTGGGTCCAGAATTCAGACAGGGACCGCCAGCAGGCAGGCTGGTCCCTACCCCTCGATGGCTGAGGCCTCAGCAGTGGCTGAGGTGAACCAAGCTGCTGGAGTCATCCGAAGGCCTCTTCCTTGAGTCCCCGATGATGCTGGCTGGGGCCTTGGCGGGGACTGATCAGGGCACCTTGTGTGTCCTGGGATTTCTTGCAGTGTGGCAGCCTCTTCATGGCTGGGCATCTTACCTGGCGGTCAGGGCTCCCGGTAAGTGCCCAGCTTCACGGCCTTTTCTGACTGAGCTTTGGGAAGCCATGCCGCACCACTTCCACCCACGCTATAGGTTACAAGAAGGTCGCAAGACCCTCAGGTTCCTGCGGTGGCACAGACCCCTCCTCTTAATAGGATGAATGTCAAGATCAAGTCAAGCACACCAGATGGGGGATGCTGTGCGGTACAACTGGCCACACCTCTCACTGGTTCCCCACTGCACCCCATCACCGTCCAGCTGCTCAGGCAGCTGTGGCCAGGCCTCTCCAGTGCCTTCTTCCCTTCCTGGCCGCTGCGGTCAGCAGCACATGTGGGGTGGCCCTCACCGCTGCCTTCGCACTGTGGCTGTGCTAAAGGGCATGTTCCGGGTCAGCTGGAGCTCTGGGGATCCCCGGATAGAGGGTCCCCGACTGCCTGGATTCACCCGCCTCCCTCAGTATCTGTGGCCGTGCGTGTGGCTGTGGGTGTTGTGTTTCCTGGCTCCCCAGCCGCCACAGCACTGGAATGAGGGGACCCAGACAGGGCTAAGCGACTGGAGCCCCAAAAGTCCCGGTGGCCTTGAGGGACCTTGGTGGCCGGCTGCCCCTGTGGGCAGGGTCTTGGGGCAGAGTGCGTGGCTATGCCCTGCTCCATTTGTGTAAAGGGGCAGGTTCTTCATGGACTTCAGTTTCTGAGAAGCTCCAAGGCATTTAGCTGAGAACATCCCAGGATAGTAGTCCTGGCTGAGAACTGGGGGTTGCAGCATGGTAGTTCCAGAAGTGACTTTTGTTGAGAGAGTCTCACAGGAAAAGTTTTCTCTAGTCCCTAGAGAGTTTCATTGGCTCCCAATGAGCTGCTCATCTTGGACCCCCAACATCTTCTGGAGTGAACCAGGTGCTTGGACCTGCACCTGGCCATGGGGCTACATGAGAGAGTGAGATGAAAACGTGTGTGCACATGTGACTCACATGCACCACACACATACATGCAACCACAGGCACCACACACATGTACACACCACATGTACACATATATACCCCTCACACCAAACACACACACACCAGACATACCACACGCACAATGTCCCCCCGCCTCTTCGTAAGTTTAGGACATATGCAGAAAAGTTAAGTTATAATCTTAGAAATAACTGTCTCACACACACACGAAATCAAATTTTCAATTAGAAAGTTCCCAGAAGACCTGTCCTGCCTGCCTCAGCTGGCCCCCAGCACGCCAGGACTCCCCTGGCCTCTGCCTGCCTCAGCAGCTCTGGTGTCTGTATTTACATACAGGCGGCCACAAGTGTTCCTTCTTCCCTGGATGGAATCATACTTGGGGATACTTGGTAAAGTAAACTCATCAAGCCCACAAACTCCTTCAGAGGGCCAGGAGCCCAGGGGCGTCCATTTCTCAAGTGGCCCTGTCCAAGCTGGGCTGGGCGGACAGATGGGCTGGAGGGAAGGGACTGGGCCTCTTGGAGTGGGGCGCCTCCTGGTGTCGGGTGAGGGAATTTCCCCTGAGAGCAGGGTGAAATTGGTGGAGGATCCAAGAAGTCGGGGTGGAGAGGCTGCATGTCCTCCTCCCTTGGATTTAAGGGAGGGAAAGGAGACCTCATATTTGGGGAACAGCATGTCTTTTTGTTCTATTCCCCCCCCAAGCTGGCCACCATGGTGTAGGAGAGTCAGTTTTCCAGCCCTGGCTGTACCCAAGGGCGCCACTGTCACCAGCAAGGGGCTATTGAGGGTTGTATGGACTGACTAGCTTTCAGAAAGGGACAACATTGGGGAGTGCCATCTTTTCTGGGGTGCCTGGGAAGTATCTGCATCCTGACCATCTCATTTTCCCCCTTACCTCTCCTCTTCGGGTCCACCACCCATGTCCCTTCCACTGTGTAGGTCCTCGGGGCAGCCCCTCCCTGAGCACCAGGAGGGGTGAGGAGGGAGCACTGTCCTGTTGCAATTTGGAGCACAGCTGGCCCTGCTCTGAGCAACCTGAAATCTGCTTTAGAGCCTTGCTCCTTGGGGAACACTGGCCCCTCTCCTCTGTTCCTATGCCTGGGACAGCTGAGCACAGGGCTGAAGGGGAGCAAGTGCAAGGCACACCCCAGGGGCAGGCCTCCTCCCTAACATGAGCAGAAGTGCCCACCGGAGCCCTGGGCCCTGATTTTTTCAAGGTGAGAGGAGGCAAGTGTGTGCCTGTGGGTGACGTGGGTCTTCAGCTCCAGTCGGTTGATGTCACCCAAGAGTGTCGACAGGACACTCAGAGGCCTCTCTCCAGAAGCTGGTCAGGTGCTGGGAGCCCAGGTGGGAGCAGGAATGTGGGTCTGTGAATATCCTTCCCATCTGCTGCTCTAGGTCTGTGTGGGCCCAGCCTCTGAGAACCGGGGCACCACCCTGGACACACACAGACACTTACACACAGGCCAGAGGGCATACTCCCAGGTGTGGAGACTTTCTCTTTAACCTCATTCTGTGCCTGGAGCTGTTGCCTAGTCTTCTTGGTATTATTTTCTCATTCTCTCAATAAGGAAACAAGGACTTCAGAGGCTGATAGACTTGGCCTGGACCTCCCAGGACAATGGGCTGAGGCGGGATTTGAACCTGGGTCTCTAGCTCTAGACCTGCCTCCACCCTTACATTGGACAATAGCCACTCTGCAACCCTAAGATGGAGGTTTAGGATGAAAGCCCCGGATATTGGGCTTTGAGGTTTAGGAAGGGCAGCCATGGGGCCAGGCAGAGATCCTGTTCTCAGCTCCCTCCTTCCATCCCTGTGCTCACTTCTTCAAAATCTTGGGTTTTCTCTCTTAAGGGCTCCTGTCCTCCTCACACTGGGGCTTGGTAGTTTGCTGGGCACACATTGGGATTGTAACTCATTGTCTGGGTGGTGGGCAGGGTGGAGGGGCTGGATGTTCCAGGATAGCGGAGCTGCTGTGGGCGTCACCTGCCGGAGGTGTGGGCAGAAGGAAGGCCTGGCTTTGCGATGCCCACTCTAGCTGCTGCTGTAGCATCGTGCTACACTGGTGTGACTTTGTTCTGTCAGTTCCACCCCCCGAAAATAAAAGTGAGTGAAAAGGAAACCACCAATGGGAAACCTGAAGGATAGGAGTCTGGGGGTTTGGGGACCGGGTGCTGGGAGAGCCGAAGGCCCCACTCACTGGGGAGTTCTCATCGATTCTCTGCTCTGTGGGCTCCAGTGAAGACAACGCTTAGATCAAATAGGCCATTTTTTGAATCAAATCCAGATAAATATTAATTTACTCTCACCTCTCCAGCTGTACTTGGTTTGAGGCTTCAGTGATCTGATCCAGCTGTTTCAGAGGTGGAGGTTGCTTTTTTTTTTTTTTGAAAAAGATTTATTTATCTATGCATACAAGAACTGGGGTGTAGGCCAGAGGTGGCGGG